CTTCTGCCTCTCTCTCTGCCTGCCTCTCTGCCTACTTGTGCTTTCTCTCTGTGTGTCAAATAAATAAATAAAATCTTTAAAAAAAAAAAAAAAAGCTGACCAGACTGATGGTCATTGTTTTTAGAAAAGTTGCTTTTTACGTTCAAACTGGCTCTAGTCGTCATCAGTTGCTATGTTCTTTTTACCTTGCTATGTGGTTCATATTAACTGCAATGATCGGGGTCTTTCTCTTAGATAGCCTACTTTATTAGGCCATAAAGCTTTATGTTTCCAGGTTTGAAATCAGGGCCCCTGCTCCTTAAATGGTTTTCCTTGACAGGTGAGTACTTCTCTCAACCTCTCTGTGCTGTCAGAGAGTTACTGTCATGACAGAGTTGATTTCTGCCACCTGCCCTAGCATAGCCCTTACAAGACCTGCTTTCTCTATTCACCACCCAGGACCTGTATCCTCTCTCTGTATCACTAAATAGAGGGATAAGGGGGCAGGAAAGGGAGAAAAAAGGAAAAGTCCTTTGAAAATCCCAACTTGACATAGGATAATAGCTCATAAAATTACTTTCTTTTGGTATCTCTAAAATTAAAACAAAAATGTAAAAATTAAAAAATGTTAATTAGAAAAGAATGAACAGAGGTGCTCAGGTGGCTAAGTCTGAAGAGTGTGTAAGTGTGTGACTCTTGATCTCAGGGTCGTGAGTTCAAGGCCCACGTTGGGTGTAGCAATTTAGTAAAAAAAAAAAAAAAAAGAAGAAGAAGAGGAAAACAATGAATGGCTTCATTTTAGAAAGAATAGGCTGTATATTTAATCATAAAGATACTCCATTAATGCTATAGGATTCAGAATGTTGATTTTTTTAAAAAAGTCCAAATCTCTCTTTAAGGTACTTAGTAGAAAGCACTTGGTAGAGATTATAGTGATGAAGAAAACACAGGTTTGCCTTCATTCCATTTATCGTCTGAACAAGGAAGCCGAATGTATACTTCTACATACAAATTAAGATAATATTCAGCTGGATAATAAGATAACATACTATCGTGGTACAACAAAGTGGGAGACCAAATCCCAAGTGGGATTTGGGAAATGGGAGTGTTAAAACTGGGCCCTACAGAAGAGGTAAGATTTAGACTAGCATGCTGTGGGGAGAGCAGTACCAGAAGAAATAACTGAGCAAGGGTGAGAGAAAGTGCCCCGTGTTTGGGGAAAGGCAAGCACCCTTGCTTGGAAGATCTGCATCACAAGATGGCTTCAGAAAAAGCTTTGTCCTCTCCAAATTAGAATGTGGGACCTAAAGTCCTGGCAAGATGCACACTAGATAAGACAATGGCATTCATAAGAAGTAACTAGAATAGATATGTAGAGACCTGGGTGGCTTGTCCATGCCTATCTTCCACCACATGCAGATCTTCTCAAGGAAGACTCTGCCTACCTGTAATCAGCGGCTGACAAAGGAGATGATAGACAGTGACTGGTCATGATTGTTCCTCTGGGCTGGGGTTGGAATAGACTTCTCTGAGCTCTTGGCAAGAGGGTGGTAAACACAGTAAAAAATATTGGGGCTCAGACAGCAAGAAAGAAGGAGAAGCGATTGCTTTGGGACTGGCAGCTGAGTATCTGCCTTACTTCCTCTGTATTGTTCCAAGAATTGAATAGAAAGACCGAGAAAATTACTTAGCAAAGTACCTGACAAATGATACGTCCACAATAGAAGTTAGTGGTTATTGTTATTTTTATTCATATTGGTATTTAATATTATTTTCTTTAAGTGCACTTTTTTCTCTGATGTGGGCAGAATCACCTTTCCCTTCATATGGCTGATTTTATCTTACAGTGTAGTAACTCTGATGTTCTCCCAAAGGTGCAAATAGGAGTTTATCTCTTTCCCAACGTATGTAGAATGGCAATGGTTTTTTCCCTTCAAGGTGCATATTCTTCAGGATGTGTACTCTGTTGGCTCAGAAAGTCCAAGCCTTTATAGCCATCTGCTACTTATTAGCTGGGTGACCTTGGCTAGGTTAGTTACTCTGTGTCTTTGTTCCCTCATCTTTAAAAGGAGTATGATCTTGGGACTTACTTCAGAGGTTCTTATGAACACTAAGTGAGTTAATTCATTTAAAGCAGCACTGAAAGAGTGCTTAGAACATAGTAAGCATTCAGTAAGTGCTAGCTATCTGAAAGCCAGGCATCCAAGGACTAGGACCTAGATTTTTCAACCTGTCGTCTGGAATCAACTTGAGCTATAATGTCATTGTTGGCTTAGATTAATGCTCAATGCCAGGCAGATTTTGGACTAAACACACTGTATCCCGATGGATTTCGGGTGAAAGTACACAATGAAGAGAGAAGGGGTGTACCAAGCCCATTTCCTTTCATGGTGACTTGATGGGAGTATAAACACGGCTGTTTTCATTATAAGTGCTTTTGGCAGCAAACAACAAAACAGTTGTCTACCAGGTCTGGAGAAAGAGATTTCTTTTCCTCACTTGGCGGAACGGTGGAGCTGCCTACTGATGGAAGACGTGCTTCCCAGTCTTCAGAGGG